TAAATGTCTAAAAATCCTCTCTTTAGGCACACCCCCCAGTGCCTATTTCTAAGCAAATGGGGAGGTGTGGCCCTATTTTAAGGTTGACGTGGCGAAATGCCACTGGCAAGCCCCGCAATAGGGCTGGGCCCATTTTTACCAAATCAGATCGGGTAGCACGCAAAATGAGATGGTTTACGGAGAAGTGCGTTGGGCAGGCCTGATGCACTTCTCGAGCCCGATTTGTCCCGAAACGTCTAGTAACCCATAAAAGTAAAAATGATTAAACACATGTATAATCTCAGCCATGGACCGTTGGTCCGAAAATTGGGGTAATCGGGAATCCCGATCCAAACTTATGTGAAAAAAAGGTTTATCATCACTGAGCCTTTAGGGGCAAAATTTGAGCGTCTACATTAACCTGAAGCCTTTAGAAGCTTATCTCTAAGTCAACAAAAGATGTTCACTCGTAGAGATTATATGCATTCTCGTGCCTTTGTAATGATACACATGAATGTTATGCTCTTTTTTAGTGTTTTAATCCCTTAGAATGGAATTTACTTTCCTCAAAGATAAATCCATATATCTAAGTGAATTTAATAGGTTTCCACTAAGAATACCAACTTTCGTTGTATATTCCTAATTTATATGTCATGTATGTTGATCAAGCACATACAACAACATTAATTCTCAATTAATTCAAATACAAACTCATTCATGAAAGAAAAATGATCATTTCACTACTTAAGAAAACGTGAGTGATCTAGTCACGCAATTCAATTTGAAATAATATTGAATTCAAGAAAACAACAACAATTTCCAAAATAATGATTGAATTCAAGAACAACCGAAACAATTTCCAAATGATAACATATCAAAAGATTTAGAAAGATGATTCCACTCTTGGGGAAAGGATAAGAGCACTGCTAGAGAAAACAACAACAATTTCCAAATGATAACATACAAAAGATTTAGAAAGATATTCCACTCTTGGGGAAGATAAAAGACACTGCTAGAATTCTTCTTACTCCAAGGGTTGTAACTCTTCCTTGAAAAGTTGTTTCTCTTAAACTTTTAATAACTACCTCTCTCAATCTTTTGTCAAGTGTTTCTTGAATGATTCTCCCCTTAAGTGGTGCTCAACCATATGTATTTATAGCCTTCTAAGTGTCTTAAGTTGAACCTCATTGGAAAGGACGTATCTGTTGAGAAGAGACATGATGGTAGGATAATAGTCTATGACCAGTCAGCAATGTTCTTCCCAACTCGTTCATGAGATGTTCTGTGACGAGTCGGCAAGGGTGTGACGAGTTGGCACCAACTTGATTGCTTTAATCCTTTAAGTCCATGTCCTTTAGGCTCTTAATTGTGCACCATAATCATCAATTTGGTCCTATAAAGTAAAATTTCATAACTATAAGGGCAAAGATATAAATAAAAAGGACTAAATCTGTCTAAATATAACTCAAAATATAACAAAAGTAACTTAATACATACTAAAATCTGTCTAAATATAACTCAAAACATATTAAAATCTGTCTAAATAACTTAAGAAAACATATAAAATGTTATGCTTATTTGCACCATATCAAATTCCCCCACACCTAGACTTTGCTTGTCCCTAAGCAAGACGTCAGCACAATGATCCATCATCAAAAGAAGTTGTCATAACAAGGTTCATTAACATTCTATGTCAAAAGAAAAGAAATTGATATTAACTTAATAAACTCAATAATGATAGAATCAAGTGAAGCTTTCGTAGTGTAACACAAAAAGATCATAATTTGTCCAATGCTATTAAAAACAAAATCAAGAATGCAAACTTAAGGTGCTAACTAAAGCTAATGGATGAAGATATCCAATTCCAAGAACTTAAAATTTTAAAAGATTTTTAGAAGCTGCAAATTTGGTGGGACAAAATAAGAGCACACGTACTAATTGACAAATCTCATGGAGTTTTTAGACCTTGTTGCTCATTCTATGAATCAATCATTCAGACTGAATGCAATTAAGGGAGCATACTCAAATTCACATAACTTACTTGATTGATATCACATTAAAACAATTATTCTTTCTTTTCTCTTTCTCTTTTTTTCTTTTTCTTTTTGATTTGGTCGTCATCTATTATTGATGAGTCAATTATCCGTATTATTGCTAAAGTTTCCCTAAAGCTTGATTGTACTTTTAAAGTCTTAAGCTTAAGGTTTTAGAATCTAAGTTCTAATTTTAATTAGGAAATTGACTATTCATTCTTCAGATTTTGGAAATAATAACAAAAGACAAAAACCTAACCTTAAAACTTACACTATAGTGAATTTTATACTTCTATCAATTGAAGATAAGAATAATATCAAAATCCTTTTATGATGTTCTAGTAATTTAGAATGATGATGAACCTATGCTAAAACATAAAAATATGGTTTGATGGATATGCTTCTATAATTTGATAGGCAAAGATTGGTGCAAATAAGGCATAACACAGACATACTACCTGTAAAATATTAATATAATAAAAACACAAACCTAAAAATATTAAAAATACAAAGCAGAAAAAAAAAATCCCTCCTCCACACTTAAAATGTAATTTGTCCTCAAATTGAAAGACAAAGGGAAGGGCAAGAAGAACTCCCTTAAAAGGTGAAAAGCAAAAGATCAAATATTGTATTAGACTACTTGTCTTCTTACAGTTGGACTGATGGAGAAGGCGAAGGAGAATTAGTGATGTAACCACTAAGAGTGAAAAATTATCGCATCTTATACTCCATACGCTTTTGATGTTGATAAGTAGCCCTTTGTCTTATGTCATGCTATCTAATTGTTGACGCATCAATCTTTGATTGTCCAAAATTTATTCTAGAAGAGTTAATTGATTGGCAACATTGGAGCAAGACAAAAGCAGAGGGGTTGTTTCCATTGGAATCTCTTCCTCATCATTACCATCGTCATCATCATCCTCGCTTGAAGAGAAGCAACTTTTTGTTTGACCCATTAAAGTGCAGGAATTAAAAGGAGATTTAGGAGGAAATAGGTGTTGTTAGGTCGAGGGGATGCATTGATTGGTGTTTTGAAAAGAGGAGATGTGTTGATTTCGAAGTTGAAGATGTATGTCGGTTGGTAAAATGGAAATGGGAAGGATTTGAACATTATTCTGTTCTGATTCAGTAAAAACATGCTGACTCGTTACTCTGCTTCTTTGTGACGAGAAGTGCAGTTCTAGTGACTCGCTTCCTTTTTTGTGTGTGACGACTCGGCACTACAGAGATTAAGATAATCATCCTTCTTTAGATTTTCAAACCTTGAAGTTCTTTTCGATGAAAGATGTGGAGTTGGTTCCACAAATTTAACATTTTCTACTACTTCCTTGATATCATTCTTATTATGCTTCAAACCTATCCCCATAGGTCCTAAGTCTATGCATTCATAACAGATTTTATTAACATAATCATCAATGACATCAAATGCATCAGTCCTATCAACCACTTTCAATGGTGAAGACTCTTTCATTATTTTGTGCACATCAAATACAATAGTCTCACCATCCATTTCTAATGTGATTTTTCCTCTTTTCATATCAATTATAACACCTGCAGTAACCAAAAATGGTCTACCAAAAAGGATCGGGATTTTGGGATCCTCTTCCATTTCTAATACAACAAAATCAGCAGGTATGATGAATTTACCTACCTTAGTAGGTACATTCTCAATGATGCCCACAGGATACTTAATTGATTTATCCACTAAAGAGAGGCATATAGATGTTGGTTTTAATTCCCCTATATGAAGCTTTTTAAATAGAGAGTAAGGAATAAGACTTACATTAGCATCAATATCACACAAAGCTTTATCAAAATGAGTATTACCAATTTTGCATGGGACAGTAAAAGAACCTGGATTTTTTATCTTGTTTGGTATCTTGGAGAAAATAGCTTGTGATTCTTCAATGAGTAGCACCAACCCATCTCCTTCAAGCTTGCTCTTGTGAGTAATTATATCTTTCAAAAACTTACCCTATGATGGCATATCTCTAATAGCATCCATGGAAAGGAATTGTGATGGTGACCTCCTTAAGACAGTCAGGAACTTTCCAAATTGTTTATCCAACTTTCTTCTCAACAATCTTAGTGGAAAAGGTAATGTACTGACATTTACCGGACGATCTTCCTTGTTAGGGGGTTGTACCTTTGTTTCTTTGTTGTCATCATCCTCTCCATTTTTTATCACCAAATTTCCATCTTGAACAACCTTTCTTCCCTTTAGAGGAGCACCTATCACTTCCTTACCATTTCATAAAGTAATTGCTTGACAAGTCTCCTTAGAAGTACACTTTTGTTGGCTCAGAAGTTTTCCCAAAGTTTTAAAATTGGTAGAGGCTAGTTGCACAATTTGAGTTTTAAGCATTTGGTTATGGGTGGCAAGTTGGTCAATTCTTGAATCCAAATGCTTGAATTGCTCTATTGTTTGCTTATTAGTGATAATTTGTTGGTTGATGAATTGTTCAAGTAAAAGCTCTATATTGGGCATGGATTCTGGTGAAAGGTTTAAGGGTATAACCTGGTGGGGTCTTATCATTTGGAAAAACATGTGGGTTCAGTTGAGCGGAGGGGTTAAACCAAGAGATACTAGGATGATTCCTAGATTGGATATTAAAGGTGTTTGGATTTGGTTCACTTGTTGGCCTCGGGCTGCATGTATGGCATTCATTGTATGCATGAGGTCCACCACAAAGTTCACAAGTTGTACTTGAATTCTCCACTTGGTTAACTTGTAATTTTGTAATTAGTTTTATGAGGGCATCCACCTTAGCATTTAACATGTTAATGTTGTCCAATTCCAAAATTCCTCTTCCTTTTGCCATAACTATTTCCTTCCCCATATATCCTTAGGAAGCAAGTTCCTCAAGTAATGATACAGCTTCTGCTGGTGTCATAGTCATCCATTTACCATTAGCACCTGCATTTATAATGCTCCTATCGTCATCGATCAATCCATTGTAGAAGATTTGAGGAACTATCCAATCGGGTAGACCATGATGAGGACATTGCCTTTGTGATTCCTTGAATCTTTCCCAAGTAGTATAAAGTGTCTCATACTTCCTTTGTTTGAAGGTAGAAATTTCATTGCATAGTTTGGCCGTCTTCTGTGGTGGAAAATACTTGTGGAGGAATGCTTGCTTTAATTGATCCCAAGTAGTGATGGAGTTATTTAGCAAACTTGCTAGCCAATTCATGCTTTTTCCTTAACAAAAAATGGGAACAAGCTCAACTGTATTGCATCATTGGATATCTCATTAATCTTGAAGGTGGCATAAACATTGAGGAATGTGAGAATATGAGCATAAGGATCCTCTCCGGGCAAACTTCCAAACTGATTATTTTGCACCATTTGAATGATGCTGGGCTTAATCTCAAAGTTATTGTTAGCAATTGTTGGAGCTACAATTCCTCCGACATTCTCTGTGATATCAGGCAAAGTGAAATCTCCCAAAGTTCTTCATTCTCCTTGGGCTATAATATCTTGTTGCTTACTTTGGCAGTCTTGTTGATCTAATAATACCCTTTTATTCCTATGCAAAGAACGAAGAGTACGTTCAATTTCAAGATCAAAGAGTAATAAACTTTCATGACTTAAAGAATGTCTCATTCAACAAAATAAAATAAAATAAAAACTGAAAAATAAATTCTAAAGGAGCATTTTCCATAGTCTAGGACAATATTAATTCAAACCAAACTCCCTAGTAATGGCGCCAAAATTTTGTTAGCTAGGCTTTTCACGCTATATAACCCTTAACTAGTATAGTGATAAGGGGTCGAACTCTAGGAGTTGGAATTAAGTATTATTAGACTAAGTACTAAAGTTGTTTAGGCTAACCAATAAATTGATTGATTTAAATATCTAAACTAAAATAAACTAAATGGCAAAGACAAAATTACACTAAAACTATTTTAATAAAATAATATTATAATGATATGACAAGATCATAACACTTTTTTTCAATTGATGATAATTAATAAGTTAATGACTGAGATGTTTGGAAGATTAACCTGAAGCCTTTTGAAGCTATCTCTAAGTCAATAAAAGATGTTCACGCGTAGAGATTACATGCATTCTCATGCCTATGTAATGATACACATGAATGTTATGCTCTTTTTTAGTCTTTTAACCCCTTAGAATGGAATTCACTTTCCTCAAAGATAAATGCATATATCTGAAATGAGTTGAAATTTTATTTTCAAAATCGATCAAATTAAATTTAATTTAAAAACCACGTAAATAATGTCCCTTGAATCAAATCATTTAATCGAGTCGATTCAAGTAAATTAAGTGAAACCCAAATAACCCAAACCCCTTTCTAGAAGAATCCAAATCAACTTCCTAAGGAAGTTCACAAAAATCAAGGCATGATTAAATGATAATAATAATAAAGAAAAGAAGGACCTAGACAACCCGAAACCCACGTGACCCTTCCCATTTCATCAATTCTTCCTTTCTTTAGTATTCCCTTCTTTCTTTTCTTTTATTTTCTTTGTTTCCTTTCATCTCCTTCCTCTTTCATGATAACAACACATATGCTCTTCATTTCATCGGAAAATTGTTCCTAACAGTCGAATAAAAGGACTACCGGTGATGGGAAAGGAGCTCAACTCTCTCTCTCTCTCTCTCTGTTAGCTAGCTCGAGGTGTTGCTTTGCGTTGTGACCTCGACTTCGTGCAAATTGATTTAATTAGTAGAAATTGACATTAAATTGAAGCTTTACATGAAATTTGGATCAATTTGATATTAAGTTTGCTTGATTCTAGGCTTGCCGCCACTCAAGCCACTGTGTGCGATAATGGTGCCAGTGGTGGTTCCGGTGACCGGAACTCTAAAAGGCACAATATGCCCCTTTATGTCTAGATTATAAATATGTAATTAGTTTTGCAATTTGGGCTTGTTTGACCTTCGAATAATTATTCGATGCAAATTTAGAAATTCGTCTTTATACCAAAAAATCTACAATATTGTAACGTATAGGTAGATTTTGTGATTTTAACAAATTTATGTTGATTAATTGTTGAAGTAGGTACAATAAAATAATAAGAGTTTTAAATTATTTAGATAGGTTTATATATGAATAGAATATTTTCTCTCTTTTATAAATAAAATTAAGTTTTATAGTATATAATATTTATGTTAGCAAGTTGTACTTAGTTATTAAGTTTGGAATCCACAATTATTTAGTACTTGATATATATATTTATGTAGTTGAAGATCGGGAATGTAATTTTGTTGATATTGATGTTTAAATCAAAATATATGGTTGGATATTAAGGATGAAATCTTAATAAATATTCTTAATGGCGGACGGATTTTATTGATGTGGATGTTGCCCGATGGATGGACTTTATATATTAATGAGAATTGTGGATATTTTATCAGGAGAAAAGTCAAACTTTTAGGGGGAAACTCCGCTGAATTTTCGACAAAATTTTTAGAATATTATTCTAAGTATAGGAATTCAAATTCTATAAATAAGCAGAAATAGTTATTAATTTTAGCTTGTTTATTTCTTCTAGCTGGTGATAGAGCGGGACCTTCTTCCTCCTTCGCTCCTGGTTCTCAACAGGACTAGAATTTTCGGATCCCTCTGTGAGTAATAATAAATAGTGCATATACCATTATAAGCATGCTTACATTAGTTACCATATAAAGAAGTATATAAATGTTAAGTTAGTAATCATTTTATTGTTATTACTATATTATTATTGATATATGGTTATATTGATATATTTATATCATATCTTTAAGTCTGCATGTTAATTGATATCTTGATGCATTCTATTGAATAATTGTTTGATTATTTGCATTGTGATATTGTTGTGCCTTGTTTGTGTGGAATTAGGATAAAATGGGTCAACATGGATTTATGAGGGCGGTCTTCGATACCGTCGGCCATGTATGGGGAGATTGGTGCCCCTGTGTCCGTTTGATGATATATGATATGGATAAATCACAGAGTGACTTCCTGTTGGTATGAAAAAGAAAAGAGAGTATAAAAAAAAAATGAGAGGGCTGGTCAAGTGAGGATTAAACTGGTCAGCTATGTATTGGGGATCGGCTCCCTAGTACACACCTTTGAGAAGGCGGGCCATGTGGGAGGACAGCTCGTCGGGAGTTTCGGTGATGCCACTGACTAATTTCCACTTGTTTGATTATTTGAAGATGAAATTACTTGTGAGTGCTGATGTTGTGCCATATGCTTAGTGAACACCTTTGAGAAGGTCGGGCCATGTGGGAGGACAGCTCGCTCGGGGAGTTTCGGTGATGCCTCACTGAAATTTCCACTTGTTTGATTATTTGAAGATGAAATTACTTGTGAGTGCTGATGTTGTGCCATATGCTTGACTAGTTGTGTGTTCATTTTAGTATCTTAGGATGCATTTCGTGTGAATGCCTGTGCTATACATTATTTATTATTATTCATTAAGTTTTATACTCACTCCCGTTTCCTTTAAAATTTTCAGGAAACCAAACTCCATTTTGCATTTAATCGAAGCTCTGTTTTTCCTTCCTCCACAGAGTTTGTTGAATTAATAACTACATTTGTACAGTAATTCCTATTTAGCTAGGTACCTCTAATATTTATAAATATTTGTAAACATCCGCAATTACTATAGGAGTGTTATGTATGTAACAATAACAATAATTACTTGTAAACTCTATTTTGATAAATTTGAATCTATGGTTGAAATTATGAGTTGAATATTTGTCTGGAGCCTAATGAGTGAGATTATGATTATGCTTTGGAAATACATATGATACAGGCCCGAGAAAATTGAATAAATATATTGTATTTGAATTAGGGCCTTTGTAACGATTTGGATTATTATCATTATACTGGGCCTAATTGAATATTCTTATTAGCTTATCTTCTAGATTTATATCTATTGGATTGGACAAATGATGACCAATGTTCCAAGCTTACTACGAGTTTCGGTGGCTTTAAGTCTACCTGGGCCTTAGTGCTAGTCCGGCCCACGGAGATGGATAGTAACAATATCTAAGTGACTTTAACTGGTTTTCCACTAAGAATACCAACTTATGTTGATCAAGCACATACAACAACATTACAATATCTAAGTGACTTTAACTGGTTTTCCCGACTAAGAATACCAAATCCTTATGTTGGATCAAGACACATACAAACCAACATTAATTCTTAATTAATTTCAAAACAAACTCAATTACATAAAGAAAAATGATCAATTGTCTCAAATTACTTAAAGGGAAAAAGTGTGCTATGGTTGAAATTATGAGTTGAATATTTGTCTGGAGCCTAATGAGTGAGATTATGATTATGCTTTGGAAATACATATGATACAGGCCCGAGAAAATTGAATAAATATATTGTATTTGAATTAGGGCCTTTGTAACGATTTGGATTATTATCATTATACTGGGCCTAATTGAATATTCTTATTAGCTTATCTTCTAGATTTATATCTATTGGATTGGACAAATGATGACCAATGTTCCAAGCTTACTACGAGTTTCGGTGGCTTTAAGTCTACCTGGGCCTTAGTGCTAGTCCGGCCCACGGAGATGGATAGTAACAATATCTAAGTGACTTTAACTGGTTTTCCACTAAGAATACCAACTTATGTTGATCAAGCACATACAACAACATTAATTCTTAATTAATTCAAAAACAAACTCATTCATAAAAGAAAAATGATCATTTCATTACTTAAGAAAAAGTGTGTGATCTAATCACTCAATTCAATTTGAAATCATATTTGAATTCAAGAAAACAACAACGATTCCAAATGATAACATAGAAAAGATTTAGAAGATAAAGAACAGAAAGATATTCCACTCTTGGGAAAGATAAAAAAAATACTGCTGGAATTCTTCTTGCTCCAACGGTTATAACTCTTCCTTAAAAAGTTGCTTCTCTTTAATTTTTAATAACTAACTCTCTCAATCTTTTGTCAAGTGTTTCTTGAATGATTCTTCCCTTAAGTGGTGCTCAACCATATGTATTTATAGCCTTCAAAGTGTCCTAAGTCGAACCTCATTGGAAAGGACGTATCTGTTGAGAAGAGACATGATGGTAGGATAATAGGCTATGACGAGTCGGCAATGTTCTTCCCAACTCGTGCATGAGGTGTTCTGTGACGAGTCGGTTAGGGAGTGACGAGTTGGCACCAACTTGGTTGCTTTAATCCTTTAAGCCCATGTCCTTTAGGCTCTTAATTGTGCACCATAATCATCAATTGGGTCCTATAAAGAAAATTTTCATAAATGTAAGGGCAACACATATAAAAAGGACTAGATCACAAAATATAACGAAAGTAACTCAAAACATACTAAAATCTATCTAAATAATCTAAGAAATCACATAAAATATTATACTTATTTGCACCATATTAGTTCCCCCTCTCTCTGTAGATTTATCCTCTCTATCCTTCTCTATCATTAATCGATCCCTCTATCTCGATTTCGTCATACTCCGAGTGCTTGGTGTAGTTTTGGTAAATGATTGATTTATTTAACATCTTCAAAATGTGGGATTTTTCTGAGCTGTATTATTTTTTATTTAGAGCAACCAGTTAAGTGCAGAAAGCAACACAGAAGAAAGTACATTCAAAACCAGGAGAAATGCCTAATGAGATGTGTATATAATTCTATTTCAGAAATGTGAAATGGCATGCAATAAATAAAAGTCGATAAGAAGCAAATCCACTTGGGGATTATTGGTTCAAAAGAAGAGGCCACCCGTTTGTATGATAGTAGTGGGCTAAACTTTGTAACTTTTGCAATAAATATTCTTTTTGTTTGTGCATTAAATATTAGTAGATGAAATTACTAATAGATACAAAAATTGTCATCTTTTTTCGAAAGATTGAAGTATGGTTCCTTTGGTGAACATATACAGAATATTTCATTGTTCTTAAGGTTAGGCTTATATTTTATGTTTCCTAGTATTATAAACCAACATTCATTCCATTCTGTTATTTAAGAAAATGAAACGACAACCCAGAGAGGAGTTTGAAATTTATTTCCCTTTTTTTTTAAAAAAAAACAACTAAATGAAACTATTTGATCAGCAATTTCCCATTGCAGGGGGTTAGGAATTTTGATAAAAAAATGGAGCCTTCTCTCTTTTGCAGCAGTTGTGAATGAATTAAAAAAGTAAATTTTTTACCTTTTTCTGCTTTTGACCACGTGTACTTCACGCATGGATTTTTTTTTTTTATAAACCTAAGTAATGGGTTATTTGGCTAAAAAGTTAAAAAAATGAGCAAATTGAACTTTTGCTCCAAATTCAAAAGGGATAATTTGAACTCTTTTCCATTTTTGTATTCAGCAATTTATAAATACACATTCAAATAAGTACCATTTACAAGCGTGGGGTAGGTAAGCACGGTTCTAACAAACAAGAGATCATTTTTGTTTTTGAAGAGAAAGAACTGAACTCGTGGAAAATCTTGAGTTTGAGAGAAACAATGGAAATTTACTCAACAATGATGGATGTAATCGAGTCGTACACGGGTTTGTCACCGTCGGCGTTCTTTACAATAGCCGCGCTTATGATTGTGGTGTACAAAACGGTGTGTAACATGTTCGTCGACCCTGAAGATTTCAATAAACCTCCTATCATTAACACCTCCATCAATCTTCAACAAGCAACTCCAAAATTATCAGAGCCAGTTCAGTTAGGAGATGTTACAGAGCAAGAATTGAGAGCTTATGATGGTTCTGATCCTAGCAAACCTCTTTTGATGGCCATCAAAGGCCAGATCTATGACGTTTCTTCCTCTAGGTATTTTCTTTGTTTTCTTTTCTAATTTTTTAATGGGTTATAGTTTAACTGTATTTAAATTTAAAATTGATGCTCTGTCTGGATAAGTTGATATTTCTGTTTTTACTAATTTGTAGGAAAATGAAAAATTTAGTATATAGTTTGACTGTTTAAATTAAATTTTGTTTAGAAGTGAAATCGAAACAAATATTACTCTGATTTTACATGATTTTAGTTTGCAGACTAATGCTCCTTTCAAACTATGTAGTTACAACATTTGGTTAGAGATGAATTTCTTGTTTGATTTCAATTGGAAAAGAAAATTAATTTCTAACCAATTGAAGCTAAGTTAATTTGGTACATTAAACAGCCATTCGGATAATTTCTTTTCTTTTTTTCTTAATGAAGTCATTGAATTAAGTTTTCTGGGTAAATTTTTTCCGAAGTTGATATAAACTTTGCTTAACATTTCTATATGTGTGCATGCGCAGGATGTTTTATGGTCCTGGAGGTCCATATGCGAAGTTTGCTGGAAGGGATGCAAGCAGAGCCTTAGCTCTTCTATCTTTTGACCCTCAAGACCTTACTGGAAATCTTAAGGGCCTAAGTGATTCTGAGCTTGAAGTCTTACAAGACTGGGAGTACAAGTTCATGGAAAAGTATGTCAAGGTTGGGCAGCTTGTTCCGGAGGAAACGAAGACTATGGAAACAGATGGTGAAGAGAAAGTTGAAGAAAGCAGCCAGAAACTGGAAATAAATGGCGGAAAAGAATAAAGGCAGACCTTTTGAAGCAGAGATGAATGCGGTATGTATATATGTATGTATTATTAGACTCTCCATTGCTAATATGATATGGCAAAACTATATTGCTCTTATTTATATTTATAAGATTGGAAACATATTGTTCGACCTGAACTTCCATTGGGGATTAGTGCATCGTAGAAGCTAACATCTTAATGGATAATAAAAAGATTTAAGAGCTTATTATGTATAATTTTATAGAATTTGTTACGTTTGAACCAAATTTGATAGAATATTTTTGAAAATGAACCCAAAATTTAGTAGCCGACAATCTAGTAAGTGTGCAAATTCAATATCTATCCATATTTAATACATAAGTTATCAAACATGATATTTCATTTGTGAATGAATTTTTTATGAAATGCACTTGCAAATAAAATGAATTCCACATTCATGTATTCCAAACATTAACTAAGGCAGTTGATTCTTAAATATTCTGTTCTTTGGAAGTTGAGTCTGAGAAATCCAGAAAAGAAAAGGAAAAAAGAAGTTTCTCTCATCTGCATCTCTGTAGGAATCTTCAATCTTCATTTAATTTTCTTTTATTCTTATTGAGCAAGAAGTTCAAGAAACACTTCGTCGCTTAGGCATGAAACCCTAATCAATAGAATCCTATTACTCCAAAATTAGCACTTAAAAGAGTGTCTGGTAGCGAATTGCACATGAAAAAAAAAAAGTACAACTTTTAGTTAAAATTCTAGAAGTGGATGCTAATTAACTCATTCCAAGAGTCCATTCCCTCTCTAAAATCTAAAGAAAGAACTCACCATATCAAAACTAAACCAACATCTTTGCTGGACATATCCTTCATGTTTGAATTTGACATTATCTTCGCTGCCGCCGCTGCTGCAACAGAAGTAGATTTTACATTTGAAGCGTCTTAAAGATTATCTAGGTCTCAGCAAATGACTACTAGAGCGAAAGCTTTTATATGTGTGACAAACTATGTCAGCAACAAGAGGAAATTGCAGAGACACAAACAAATAGACAGGAATGCAAGCTACAATAACAACTGGAATGGTAGTCCATGCCAATCCATGGGAAAGAATAATGAAAATTGTGGCAGTAAAAGCTATCATCATAGAAGTTATGGAGACAAAAAGGGTTGCTAGTCCCATGATTAGCTTGTTCGGTAGTGATTGGAGGAAATCTTCTTCTGCATAACGTGATGTCAAGATGGAAAGGAATATCAGAATTGATGATGCTGATGAGAATAAAGCAACTGCATCTGATATTACAAAAACCAGGAACAATCTTGTTTGAAGAAAAATTGGCCTGCCTGTCTTTTCGTCATTTCCTCCTGGTACGGTGAAGACAGCAGCAAACATCACAGTAGCAATAAGAGTTGCAACAACCATACATGAAGAAGAAGTATCTTTCATCCACTTCTCCCCTTCTCGCTTCAGTGTTTTATGTTCCATTGTAAATAGGCAATCTGGTGTTTGCCCTTCTGAGTTTTTCATTTCACTATATAGGGGCTGAACAATCTTCTCCACTTCCTGCACCCATTACTCAAAAACCTATAGGTTAGTAACAAATTGATAAAAGTATTAATCATAGGCTAAAATTGCATCATTGGTCGCTGAACTTAGGAACCTCAAATTAAATTCAACATTCTACAAACAAAATGCATAAACTTTCCCATGCAAATTAGAAGCTATAGGCAAAAGAAATCAAACCTGGAACCATAGCAATTCCCTTCTCAACTGCAGAGCTGCACCAGAGTCTGTATTCAGCCGACTTGGATCAGGTAACTTTCCAGCCAAATGTAGCATATTATTGTTGCTCTCATCTTTATAAACAGCTATAAAGTCTTTTAGTGCTCCTAACTCATATATTAGATTAAAGACATTTTCTTGTCTATGAAAAACTGCAGTGTGAAATATACTTCTGCTATGCTCATCAACCTTCCATATAAGGTCAGGATGCGAGCGAATAAGTATAGTTATGAACTCTAAGATCCCAAATTCAGCAGCTGTAAAGAGCAACCGAGTAGGCGTTCTAATAAACTCCGTAATACTCGGATCATCTAGATGCATAACCTGTTGCCAAAGTTCCCTCACTAGCTCAAGGGCTTGAATGTGTCTTAATTTGATGTTATAGATCAGGTCTATCTGTGGAGCTGCCAAAACTCCAAAGTCAATCCAAGCTGATCAACCTTGCAAGGCATTATGGATCATAGTTCGGACTTACCAAAATAGCCTATGCTTTTCCGTGTTAGCGACGAGAAACCTGCAATGAGAAAAGCAGATATCATGATGCGTTTCAACAAAGAATTTTTCATAGGGTGATAACGGGTGAGAGTAACCTAACGGCAGCAAAATTAAAGGTTTGGTGACACGATGAAAAATGGAAGTTTTGGGACCAAAATGATTTGAGTTATGGGTGCAAAGTTCTAATGATCACAAGACTTTAATTTGTTAATATTTGATTTTGATTTGGCAAGATTCCGGCAAAAATCTTACAGGAAATTTATCAAGACATAAAATTTTTCATATTATCACTAAAAAAGAAGGTATAAATCAAAAGGAAATGAACTTTTAAGTTTTCTTTTTGTCCTGTAGAAATCAATAGTGAATTTAGTGTCATTAAATTCGTGATAGGTTTTCTGCCAGAATTTGGTTGTAATATTATAAATTAAAGGGTGAGAATATAGTTTAACCTACAAAAATATCTTGAACTTTACTACATGTAATATCATTCTAAAATGACCTTTACCCTTTAGCACCCCAATTTATCAACTTAGATATATTTTCACCCCACGCTAAAGTTTAACCTAAAATTTGTAATAAAATAATACAAAGTGGGACCCAGTTGATACATTGGGTTAAATTCAATCCAAAAACAAAAGTTTTTTTTATGCTAATCCTACTTCTTCCAAAAGTTAAGTGGTACTCCAGCCCAATTCCAGTACAACCCACCACCCGCTACTTGGACCTGCACCATCTTAGCACTCTCCATCTCTTTCACCTTCTCAACAATGGGTATTGGACATGAGGTGTCTATTCAAACATAGTTTACTAGAAGTTTGTTTGTCGAGATTTGTTTAACACACCCACTATGCTAATCTGTCCAATACAAAATCTAGTAAGATTTAATATTATTGTTTGTCAAGAATGCAGGAAACTCAATTCTTATTTACTGACTTTCTAGACTAACCTATGCAACAGATGAGTCGATGAATGTTGGAGTAGTGGCTGTGTTTAGAAGGCAAAAATTCTTGATAAGGTCACTTGGAGTTGGAGGTCATAGTAATTACAGACACTGAGAATAGAATGGAAAAACCAAAATAATTGGGTGGAACCATTTTGGAAGCAGATGCTGAGAATATTTTGAGAATAATTACTCTAATGCTCAACTCAACTCAACTTAAAACCCATGGATGATAACCACCGATCTATAGAGATGATACTTTCGGAACAACGAAGTGTTGGTTTCTTTTTTTTACTAAACGCTGCATTTTAGTTTCTTGGGTTAACTATAGTTAATGGGTCCTACCAATATAATATTTTATTCAAAACTGAGATCATTTTCAAATCGCTGGTGTTAATATATCTAAAGTTCAAAATTACGGTGTCCGGGATACAAAGGTAAAAAACGAGTGATTTTGAAGCTTAAACTTATATATTATAAGCGTTTCAACCATGAAATTTAAAATTATTCTCAACCATTAGATTTAAAATTATACTTAGATAAGTATAATCATTTTCATATATTTGACTTATGTTAATATAATTTCAATTTTAATAATCGAACAAATTTGCCTTACATAATTTGAAGCTTATAATAACTTAAAACTAAATAATTTTTTTTTTATTATTATTATTATGGTGGCAAAAATTTCAGTGTAAAATTTAGTGTCTATCGGGGTAACTCGCGCGTAGTGAAACAAAAGGTTGAAAGTTTTGCAATTCTATTAAATCTTTGTTGGGTAAAAAAGGATGTTGGTTGTGTAATTACACCAATATTAGGTTTGATTCTGGAATTAACGTGTGAAGCAAGGAAACCTCCCTATACATATATATATAGTCAAATAATCATGCAAAATTTAGTTCCAAAAGAACAATGGCCAAATCCATAGATTTGATTCTAAAGTTTATATAATTTGCTTTGTTGCACTCTCAAGTTTGCGGAGAACTATCATGTTCCTATATTCTCACATTTCAGTAATAACTATGTCATTCGCCAGAATAAAATATAAAAGTGTAAGATTATGATTGAATTCTTGTAAAGTTATTTCATTTCAGTGAGGGGCATAATTATTATTGAAGTGTGAAAGCGTAAGATTATGATAGATTCCTGTAAACTTGAAGGTGCCACAAAGCAAATCGTATAAACTTTAGGGGCAAATTTATGCATTAATCCAAAGAACAACTATTATAGTTAATATTACTAGACATCTTCGATCACTATTTAATTGCTTGTTGGAAAGACAACAAAATAAATGCAATTGGTCAAAGTTTAGAGAAAGAGAGAGAACCTTGAATTAACCGTCGGCCAAAGTTATCATCATCTATGAAATGACTCGACTGTAGTTTCACCTGAAGACCTTTGGATACCATGAGATATTATTTGAACATCCAAAATATGCAACCAAATAATACATCATTTATCTTCAACAAAGTGTAATTGAATTTCTAATTTTCAGCATTTGAATGTTCATTTCAATTATGTGGAATTGAATATAAAATCAAAATATTATCAAAATTAAGAGAATTTTAAATGAATTCCAGAAAATTTACACAACTAAATGAATATTTCCTTCTTCCCCTTCTCTCTTCTCTCTTCTTTTTATCTTTTATCTTTCCTCTTCTTCTTTCTGTTGTTCTATTTTGGAAGAAACTCTACATTTTAAATGATTTTTACGGAGTCAGAATCCCTATTTCATAGCCACATATCTTTCAAATTAAGGATTGTCTTCTATTACATAAATCCAATTTGCATTCCTTTTTCATTTAATCTAATAGAACCTTCAGTTTTTTTTGAGATCTGGAGAGTATCTGGAATAATCAGTGAATTACAATTACACTGTACTGTAATTGGTGCATTTGTCTTTGCTAAAAAGGAACAATTTAATTGATAAAGGATAAAAGTTCTAATCTCCTCAAATCTGGTACAATTATGCGAACAAGAGATCTATCCCAGTTAAATAGCTAACTTCACATTGATACGATATAGAAAAGAAAATTAAAACTCTCATATACCATATGAACCATTCTGGTTATTTTGACATTTTTAGATTTAGTCAAGCGCTAAGTACGTATCATATTTGGGTAAAATTTCAAGTTCGAGTCTCTTTTTCCCGATGAAAAAAATTGATTATTTTGGTTATATCATTTTAGTATTAGAACTAACAGTTTAAATTTCCTTATTTAAAACAACAGTAGAATCAAATCGAAGTATAAACTAAAATAAGAAAATTAATTGAATTTCATATACTAGTGAGTGAGTAGAGAAACTAACATGAGTAGAGACATCTCTGCCAAAGTCCCAATTGAGCTCCACTGTAGAATGCAGTTGGCTTTCGAGACAATACATGAAGAGCAGTTTCTCCATTACCATCTCTAGCTAATGCTAATTCTGGATGATTTTTAATCAGTTCCAACGCTACATCTGCTTAACCAATAACAAAATCATCACTTTTGACTTACAATATTAGCACTAAAAATTGAAATTGAATTTTTTTTTCTGTTCCATTTAATTTGAGAAAAAGTATGACTGAATATATAAATTCACTTATGAAATTTGCAATTTTAACGTTGTTGCACTCTAAGCTTTACAGATGAATTATCATGTATTTGAACTTGTAAATTTTACACGCCCTCTGACACTAATTTTAATAATTTTTAAGATTTTTGGCTTTTATCTATAAAATATCGATTTGATATGTAGTTAGCAAGATATTTGAATAATAATGTTCATAAATTTCAACTTTTTAATAAGTGTTTAATTGATTTAATTTTACAAGTTTAAGTGCTCAATAAAATAATTTCGAAAATTAAAGTGTTTAAATAGGTGTAATTTTATAGTTGAAATACTTAATGGTCAAAGTAAAAGTTGAAAATACCACGTGATTAAAGTAACAAAGATCAATAGTGAATTTATATATTCAGTCATATTCAAGCTCTTAAAGTTTTCGAGTTTTGCCCATTAAGCTCCTAAATTTGTTATATCGATATTGAGCCCGTCTACTCTTATTTTTATTAGAATTAAACCCTTATACTATGATGAGATTCTAAAGGCACGTGAGTGACATTAAGGCACAGAAGAATATGAAGTTTTTAAAGTCCATAGTAAACCTGATCTATGAACAATATACCTAACACTACCTCAACAGGGTTATGAATCCACCTGTCAAGCAGAACTTATGTCTATGATCATCGGCAAAATATTAGGATATTCAAGCTCATATAACATTCACATCCACATCATAACAGAGTGAGGGAGCTCAGCTATCCTTCATCTACTAATTATCCTCCGTAATAGAATCACAATATATCAATATTCAAGCTCTTAAAGTTTTCGAGTTTTGCCCATTAAGCTCCTAAATTTGTTTATATCGATATTGAGCCCGTCTACTCTTATTTTTATTAGAATTAAACCCTTATACTATGATGAGATTCTAAAGGACAATACGTGGAGTGACAATTAAGGCAACGAGAAATATGAATTTTTTAAAGTCCATAGTAAACCTGATTCTAATGAACAATTACCTAACACTACTTCAGGTTTGTACCGCTGTCAAGAGAAACTTATGTCTATGATCATCCGGCAAAATATTAGGCATATTCAAGGCTCATATAAATTCTACATCCACATCAATACAGAGTGCAGGGAGCTGCAGCTATCCTTCATCTACTAATTATCCTCCGTAATAGAATCACAATATAATACTACTATACTATATATTTTTATATATATATATATATATATAAATGAAATTTTAAATTTTCTTTTTCAGAGTAAAATATATTAAAGATTTCCTAAATTATATCGAAATTATATATATATATAAAATGAAAATAATTTAAACATTATTCTTTTTCGGGTAAAATATAATTAGATTCCTAAATTATATCGAAATTAACACTTATATTTGAAAAATAACTATGACATCCCAAATTTATACTTTATTTCACTATTGAGTCATTTCATCCAAAAAGTGAGCTCTTTTCGTCTAAAAAGTTAGCATATTCCATCCAAAAAATATACCTAATTATTAGTGGTAGAGTGCTTATTCTTTTTGGACGCAAGGAGCTAATAGTTAGATGGAAGCATAAGTTAGAAACTTATTAATTTGAACATAATTTAGGAATTCAGTTATATTTTACCTTTCTTTTTGTTATTATAAGCCTAATTGAAAAGAATGAATACTGTTTTATGATAGATTTGATACACTTAGTAATTAAAATAAAAAACCAAAAACAGCTAAAATACCATTCCATAATTACTTTTACTGGAAAGGGAAAAAAAGGAGGAGAACAAATTGATAATCATTGCCAAACAGACAGTAATTAGAGTAAGAAACATTTACCAAATAGATTGGAAGTGATAGCAGCAACAAGAAGGCCAATGCGATCTTCTCCGGAAAGATCAGTATAGTTTGTTACAGAATAAAGATACCAAACCATATCCCTTCTTCCTAAGAGAACAGCCATATAAAGAGGTGTAACTCCTTTACTACCCCTAACAAGCGGCAAGCTTTTATTCTTGTTGACTAAAACTTTGGCTATTTCTGTAATTCCAGACACAGCAGCAAAGCACAGAGCAGTATTTCCAACCTTATTTTGTAAAGCTAAGTCATCTTCTGTCATTCTTTTCACTAATTTCTTAACAAATAGTGTATGTCTTGCACCAGCTGCAATGTGAAGAACAGTTTCTGATCCCATTGTAATGGTTGCTCGGACCGCATGTGGATTAAATCTAAGGTAAATTTTTGCAGTTTCCCAATCTCCTTTAAGTGCAGCTAGATATAGAGGAACATGTCTTTGACCACTTTGTCTCATTTTCCCCAAATAATTTGTACCATTCAAGTTCTTACCTAGAAAGAACATGAATAACTGTAGTTCATACTAATACTCACTTGACTTTCCATTATTCATTTTTTCATTGTGGCCAGTAAACTAATTGTAGTTTTGCTGCGATTAAAGCATGTCCAATGCTAATGTGGATTATAATTGATGTGTCATGTAGAATAGAAGTGGTGGATAATAACGGGGCTGAATGTCTATTTATAGACGTTAAATTTTAAAAATCTCTCTCAAATATACAAGTTTTGAATTATCTTTCATCTTTTTTTGTTCAGACCTACAATTCAATATGCAACTAACATGTTGTCTAACAGATCCTTAAGGAATAGAAGGTGTGGTAGACAATGTTTATTTTTTTTTTTTTTGACAAATCAACTTGACATACCAAATAAACATTAGCATTGGAGAGCATTTTTTTAAAAAAATCTTTTCATTTTTCTAATGTGACAATTAAATAAGACCAATCCACATTGGATTGGAGATGTTCTTAGACTAATCTCGATAATTACGTGTGATTTGATTGATCTTTCCATTTTTTATAGGAATGTAGGAGGTAGGAAGTTATCCGAGTCTCCCAACTACATGAATTTTTACCAATCTCGCGAAATCAATAGACCTTTATGAAATATGTATCCAAGTCCAAAATGAAGCAATCCCTAATTACTCAATTCTTATCAATTTCTAGCAAAATCATGCGAAATTAGTCTAATAACAACAAAACTATAGTTCGTATACCGAATTGCAGCAAACTAAATCAGTTAAAATACAGTACCTGAACTGTTTGCATCTTGTGTTATTGTAGAAGTAGCAGAATATGTTTGTGTCTGCATAGGATTTGCCCACATATAGGTAGGACTAATTGGTTCAGGATACTTATTTGAAAATGAATCAACACTAGGCCCAATACTAAGGTTTCTACCTCGAAAACTGGTCCGAACACTGAGGTTATGCATATCAGAGAACTGGATATTTGAACAATCTGATTGAGGTGGTACTGGACAATTGTTATTGAACAAAACATTATTGTATAATACAAGAGGAGAAGGAGGAGGTTCGATGCTGACTCTAGAATGTGGATTTGTTTCTCGTATCGAAAGATCTCTATTAGACTTTGCAAACCTGACATGAGATGTAGTATCTGAGCTCTCAGTTGATTTTGTTTCTGGAAAACATGATTTGATTGAAGGGCTCCTTTTATATTCATATGAAGTTGATTTTCCTGATGCCATCCTCGTTTATTTGATTGCTAACAAACAAGTGAAAGAAACCATAGAAATTGGAGAGTTAGTAATTAATATTATTTTACAAAGTATATCAATATTATAGATCTTCATTTTTTTTTTTAAATGAATCTAGTAAAAGACATCAGTTGAAAATGGCTAAAATAAATTATTCAATTTCGAGATTTACGAGGGAATCCAACAAGAAATTATCTAAGAAATTATGATGAAATTAGAAAGCTAACATGTATCTGAGAAAGAAAAGGAAATTAAATAAATATATATGAAGAGAGAAAAAAAAATGAATACCTTTCATTATCAGCAGTTTCCAATAACTCCTACTTTCGACATCTCTTCTTCATGCACTCATTTCTGGAAGTAAATTTCTCTTACCATTTCATTCGGATCTTTCTTGGATTAAAATGGAAATGAAAAAGACTATGTGGGATTTTGTGTATAAGAAGGAATGTGAATTTTATATATATTTTTTTTTTGTTTTAAAAAAAAATGGTGAATTTATCTTTTTTTTCCCTCTTTTTCTATTATATAATTGAAATGTAATTTACGTCTCCTTCTTGTTTTAGTTATTTCTGAAGGAAAATAAGATTAACTAAACAAAAACATCTAGTAAAAAGACAATCAAAGTTGAAAAATTGGCTAAAATAAATTATTCAGATTTCGCGAGATTTACGAGGGAATCCAACAAGAATTATCTTAAGAAATTATGATGAAATTAGAAAGCTAACATGTTATGCTGAAGAAAGAAAAGGAAATTAAATAAATAGTAATTAAATGGAAAAAGGAAGGGCAAAAAAAAAATGGAAAAAAATACCTTCTTATCAGCAGTTTCCCAAATAAACTCCTACTTTCGACATCTCTTCTTCATGCACACTCATTTCCTGGAAGTAAATTTCTCTTACCAATCTTCATTCGGATTCTTTCTTGGATTAAAAATGGAAATGAAAAGACTATGTTGGGATTTTGGTGTTATAAGAAGGAAATGTGAATTTTATAATATATTTTTTTTTTGTTTTAAAAAAAAAATGGTGAATTTATCTTTTTTTTTTTCCCTCTTTTTCTTAATTATATAATTGAAATGTAATTTACGTCTCCTTCTTGGTTTTATGTTATTTCTGAAGGAAAATAAGATTGACTAAACAAAAAAAAACAAAAAAAAAAAAAAAAAAAAAAAATATATATATATATATATATATATATATATATATATATATATTATATATATATATAGTATATAAATCTTGACGATAAAATCTTGAAAAAAAAATTTCAAAAATACTGATGTGACACTCTATTCTTTGACCGTTCCTATTCTTTTTTTTTTTTTATAAATTTTTTGAGCTTTTTTTTTACTATCATTTTTACGTTCGATTGACCACTAAAGTATTTTTTAAATTAAAAAATTAATATTTTTATGATATTAATCAATACTTTTGAAATTTAATTTTATCTATTTAAAATTATTTTTTCTTTTTTTATTATCATTTTTATAATTTGGTTGGCTACTAAAATATTTTTTAAATTTGAAAGTTAATATTTTTTTTTATATTAATCAATACTTTTCAAATTTAATCTTATCTATCTAAAACTATCTAGCTATATATGTCTCCTTGGTTGAATCTCAATTCTCTATATGTTTTTGTTTTTCTTTCACAATGTTTATTCTCTGTATTTCTTTTCCTTTCACAACAGTTTCTTCTTATTTTTTTTATTATTTCTTTCGAATCATTATATGTATTCAATTGTTCATTGAATATTTTTTTTTCATATTTGCAGATAGTATCTACAGCATCCAAATACTCCAATTCTAGGTATGATGAAATCGTGAACAAGGGGTGATCTTGGATTCATGAAAATGATTCCAATTAAGTTCATGCTGGTGGAAACCTTCTTTGAATATCCTTCATTGGGTTTGATTTTTTATTAGGGACATGCGCCATACTGTTGCTGTTAGTCTTAGTATTAAGCTAAAGTGACCAAATTTACTGCCAAGAAGGGAGAAAAATGAATTGTGCAGTCCATAATTTATATTGAGATTTTTTTTATTATTGTAATTTTGGTGAGATGTTTTTACTGGATAAATGACAAATGGGCTTTGGTGTTTGTTTTGATTGTTTTTAATTTTTGTCTATTTTATATCTTATCACTTTAGATTTTTTTTTAAAAATTTAATTAATTTTTATTAGATATAGAGGCTTAAACAAAGAGGAATTCTTATCTATACGTATATTTTTTTTCTTTTAAAAGAATGCTTAACTATGGATTGATTTTTTTTTTTTAACAAATCATCTGCTACTATCTAAGAATATGTTATCTTGCTTTTACACGTTGTTAATTGGATAGTTTTATTTGATTGCATAATTTTGAATTTTGAATTTTCATTAATTGGAATACTCATTTATTAGTGTGATCATGGTATAGTTCCAGTGTAGTGATAACTTAGTTTGAATGTCTTTGTTTTAACTTTGAATTGGATTATAAAAAAATTAAAAAAATACCAACGCAATGCACGGATCTTTATCTAGTATATATATAATCTTGAAGCAAAAAAAAAAAAAAAAAAAAAAAAAAACTTTACAAAAAGCCTGATGCGGGCACTCCCATTTCTTAGCATTCACCCCTTTTTTTTTTTTTTTTTTTTTTTTTTTTTTTTTTTTTTTTTTAATGGATTTTTCTAAATAATATAATCTTTGAAAAACAAAATAAAAATCTTCAAAGAAAGCTTCCGTGTTAACCTCGCTAATGTCTTTCAACATTTCCCCTTTTTTGTTTTTTTTTAACAATTTTCTAATTTTTAATTAAATTTTTAAATATACTTTTCAATATCTAATATCTAAGTTAACCATGTATACTAAAATTTAAAATAAACTAATATTAAAATTAAAACTTTAAAAATTGTAATATTCTTTTGAATCTGAAATTAAATTTTTAAAAAAAATTTTAAATTTTTATATATATAATATTAATATAATAATATAATATATATATATATGATATATATATCCATATTAATAATTATATATCCATATTAATAATTTCAAATAATTTTCTTCATAAAGGTTTTTACTTATTTTTTTGTTACTTGTCAATTCTCTGAGTTTTGATTGCTTTCTTTATTTATTTCTTTATTTGTATATATGTGTAATTTTTTGTTTTGTAACTTCAATCCAGATAATGTTAATTCCTTTACTTCAATCCAAATAATGTTAATTCCTTTTCTTCTACTGAGGTAATGTTAATTCTTTGATATCTTTTTTCCTTTTTCTATATTTTAGATTTTTTAATTTTTTTGTGCAATTTTTAAGATTTTCTCTTTTTGTTGTGCATCCTATGATTTCTCTTCTCTTTATTATGCAGGTATGAGAAATATCATGTTGACGGAGATGAAGAAAAGGAAAGCTAACTATTAAACCATTTATGTATTTTTTTAATTTATTATATTTTTAGTAGATAGTAGAAAATTGTAAATTTTTTATTCATGCTTCATATTCATAAATATGTAAACTTTAGTTATTTATAATTTTTTAGTTCATGTAATTATTATTTTTTGATATATAAATATATATATAATATATATTATTGATAACAATCGTTAAGTCTAAAATATTGCATGATTTGAGTATTAAATTTAAGTTTGAAAGAAGGTTTCACAAAATTGAGGTAGAGAAAATATAAGTATAATTATAATCATCATCATCAAATGCCAAGAGAAATCTTTTTTACTTAAAGTTACATATATATATATTATAATTATATATTATATTATAATAATATATATATATATATATATAAATATATATATAATAATTATAATTATATTACAAAAGATGTTTGGCGGCTTCAATGTATGAAAAAGATGTTTGGCTCATGATGAGCTTGGCACAATAAGAATCAAGGAGAATCTTGGTTTGTTCAATTATAGTAATGCCCTTCCTTAATTTTGGTGGCAAATGTGGACTATGGGAGGGAAAAAAAGCAATGATTTATTGTGTTGTATAATGTGAATGCAGATTTTTTCCAACTATTGCACGTAAAAAGAGGACTCACCTTGATGCTACACATGTGGCACGAGGTGAAGGGTTCTTGTGAAGATATGATAATGAAAGGATGGGCTGGCTGTGTGCACCCACGTTGAAATCCTGAGCTAAACTAACAAGGAAGGTAGATAAATTGCTAAGAACTAAAGGCCTGTTGAACTTGGGTTATTGATAGGCTATTTTTAAATCGGGCTTGAAGATACAAATTTAATTGCTGGGCTATTTTTAAATCAGGCTTGAAGGTTATGTAGAGGAAGATAGCATATTAAAATATTAAATGAATATGTATGGGGCCTTGCGTTTATGGCCCACATCACATGCAATGAACACAATACAAATTCAATTTGGTCCCTTTATCCAAAAAATCCATCGCTAGATGCATAGACATTGGTGACTACTAGATAGATTCAACCCTATTTTAGAAGGCAGTGTATAGCTTGCCCAGATGAATTCTATTGTTAATTAAGGCAGCAATGGATGTTTGATAACAATGACAGAAGCGGAAGGCAATGCGTCAATTCAAAATTGTTTGGCTGAAGGAGCTGCTTAGGACAATCTTAGGAGATTGATGCAGGAAGTGTTTGGCAGCGACAACGACAGTTACGAGAACGTAACCATTGATAGTGAAAATCCAGATGATATTAGGAACGACAGAGTTGAAGAGGCAGAAAATGCACTAGATTCCCAGGCCATTTATGACGAAAACACTGAAAATGTTTTGAACTCATCCTTGTCGAAGGAATGCAACAACTATGACGATGGTTTGATAACCGGTGATACTGATGAAGGGCCTAAGGAGGGAATGGTTTTTCACACACTGGATAAGCTGTACGAATTTTATCAGTGGCATTTCAAATGCAAAGGTTTTAGCGTTGCTAAGAAATCGAGGATAAAGGGTGTCGGAGGGACATATAGGTATTATGTTATTGCGTGCGACAAAGGTAGAAAATCTAAGGCATAGAGGTTCAGTAAGAGGGTGGACTGTCCTGTGAGGGGGCATGCCTCCTTAAACAAACAAGGCTTATGGGAGGTGAAAAAAATTGTAAGAGGCCATAACTATAATATGGATCCTTCCTTATCTAGTAGGCTTATGCCTTTCTATAGGTAGATATTGCCCAATATGAAGAGAGTTCTGGAAGCAAATGATATATGCGGAATCTGGTTGTGCAAGAGCATAAAATTACTCACCGTTCAAGTCGGTGGTCCAGAGAACATGCCTTGCCTTATGAAAGATTGTAGAAACTACATTGAGGCTACTAGAAGGCTAAGGCTAGAACGCGGTGATGCTGAAGCAATTGATAGGCTCTTTCTAAAGATGCAAAGAAAAGATTCAAATTTTTTCATTTAATGAGAATGGATGGAGAAGGTAGATTGTCAGATTTTATTTGGATTCATCCTTGTGGAAGATCTTCTTAAGAAGAGTTCCATAATGTGGTGTATTTTGACACCACCTACTTGGTGAATCGATAGAGGATGCCATTTGCGACCTAGGCGGGGATTAATCATCACGGTTATTCCATTCTTTTAGGTTGTGCCCTACTGCCATATGAAAATTGGTCAACATTCAAATGGGTGTTTGAAACTTGGATATTTGCAATGAAGGAATTCATCCCACAGGCACTATGACCGATCAATGCGAGAGCATTGGCCGTGCAATAAAGGAAGCATGCCTAACACCATTCACAGGTATATAAAATTTGTAATATCCCTTCTCGGTCCACCCGTGAACCCAAATGAACCGAGCCGAGACGCTACAATCTGGTTGAACCTATGTCCTGTCATGATGCCTAACCAATTCACAGGTATTAAATTTTGTAATACCCTCTCTCCACTCTGT